ATGTCTCATAATTATGACGATGTCTCATAAATATGACTTAATGCCTCATAAATATGACTTAATGTCTCATAAATATGACTTAATGCCTCATAAATATGACTTAATGTCTCATAAATATGACTTAATGTCTCATAATTATGACTTAATATCTCATAATTATGACTTAATATCTCATAATTATGAATTAATGTCTCATAATTATGACTTGATGTCTCATAACTATGACTTAATGTCTCATAATTATGACTTAATGTCTCATAATTATGACAATGTCTCATAAATATGACTTGTTGTCTCATAAATATGACTTAATGTCCCATAATTATGACTTAATGTCTCATAATTATGACTTAATGTCTCATAATTATGACAATGTATCATAAATATGACTTAATGTCTCATAAATATGACTTAATATCTCATAATTATGAATTAATATCTCATAATTATGAATTAATGTCTCATAATTATGACTTGATGTCTCATAACTATGACTTAATGTCTCATAATTATGACTTAATATCTCATAATTATGACTTAATGTCTCATAATTATGACTTAATATCTCATAAATATGACTTAATATCTCATAATTATGAATTAATATCTCATAATTATGAATTAATGTCTCATAATTATGACTTGATGTCTCATAACTATGACTTAATGTCTCATAATTATGACTTAATGTCTCCTAGTTATGACTTGGTGTCTTGTGATTATTACTTAGTATCAAAATTATGACTTCGTATTTAATAGTTTTGACTTAATATATCTTAATTCTTTCAACATTAAAAAAAAGATTTATTAAATAATTTTTATGGCATAGAATCACTAAGATGTGACTTAATATCCTAAAAATAAAACTCAGCATGTCATAATTATGAGACCATCTCGTCTTTAATTAAACTGTTGAACCATAATAAATAAAATGTCTCACCATAAATAAATTAATCAACTTGTTTTATTTTCTTTGCAGCATATTTTCCAGTTTTAGGACCTCTGGTGTGTATGTTTACACGTCTTGTTTATGTTTTTAAAACCCGCTAAAAGGTTAAACCATTAAAATAAAGTTTCTGTTTCAGGTTGTCTGCAGCTTCTTACCTCACAACGTCGTCAGACACGCTCTGTTTCTGCAGGTAAACATGGTTGTTGTTGTTTTTGTTGTTGTTGTTTTCATTTGTATTAATTTCTTGGGTTTAAATTTGTTTTTAGTTCCTGCTGCAGAGTTACAACGCCGGCTTCAACTTTGTCAACAGAAACTGTTCAGCAGAGCAGGTGAATGTGTTGGTTAATACGTACCTGTCCCCTGCAGGACGTCTCCTCCTGCAGGATGTCTCCACCTGCAGGACGTCTCCTCCTGCAGGACATCTCCTCCTGCAGGACATCTCCTCCTGCAGGACGTCTCCTCCTGCAGGACATCTCCTCCTGCAGGACGTCTCCTGCAGGACGTCTCCTCCTGCAGGACGTCTCCTCCTGCAGGACG